GGCCTCCCTGGTGACACAAGGGGTTGAGTCTCAGCACTATCAAGCTATCGCCAGCCACAGCAGCACCAGTTCAATCCCCGGCCAGGGAGCTAACCACATGGCTCAACAGACCTCTCCTGTCTCACCCGCTGCTCCCCTCAGCAGTGTGTTTCAGTAGATCCACCTGCTCTGCTCCCCACTCTGTCTCTGGTGAATCCTCTAACCCCCTGTACCTCTGGCCAGCACCCCAGCTCTGGTATAATTAAATAAATAAATATTTAAAAAAAATATGGTGATATTGCCATATTCAATGAACTGACACGCATTTTAGTAACCTTAGTGCTGATGACTGACTGGGAACATGATTTGTGGCTGATGAAGCCTGGAAGTTTCTGTCATCCCAAACAAAATAGCACCCTATTGCCTTGTCAGCCAATGTAGAGCCATTTGGGAAATTCACAAACATTGTGATTCCTCTTGCGCCCATGTGGTGGGACTGCAGTTGGGCGTGGTCATGTGACTTGCTTCCGCCAATGAACAGCAGAGACACGTCACTTCTGTGCTGTGTTTTGACCCACAATGTGCCCAGTTCCCTGCCCCAGCGACCAGCCTGTGTTGAGGGGCCCCTCTCAGCCAATGCTCCCGCGTGACCGCCATCAGCAGACACCCCCGCCCTAGGTGAGGACCAGGACATGGACGGCTGAGCTGAGGTGACCACGTTGTTTGTTAGCACAGCGTTCCCAGCCTTCCTGCCTGACCCAGCCTGGCATGTAAGCCGCTGGAACCTCGTGAGCGCTTCAGGAAGCCATGTTTGCTTTCTGTCCCGGTGCTTTTCCAATAAACAATTATCTGGGTTTTTAGGCAGGTTGTGAACTCTGAGAACAGGACTAGAAATGGCTCTTGTCCCCACACCAGAATGAGGCTGTGCAAGGGGCAGCTGCTTCATAATTACTGGCTGAAGAGAGTGCAGTGACCGTGAGAAATTCAGCAGAAAGAAGGAAGGGATGAAGGTTTTGCACAACTGACCCCTGGGACTCCACCCTAGGTCCCTATCCTGAGAGGCCCAATTTCATGTGACTGCTGCCAGCGGTGCCCTCCCCACGCTTGGCCTCCCCACCCTCGCCATCAGGCCAGTGTCCCGGCCCCCCAGGAGAGAAGCAGCCTCTTTCCAGGCCCCCTTCTGTCCCTTGAGCTCATGAGCTGGACCCACGGCCCCCAGGGTAGGGAAATCCTGCTTTGGCTGGCCAGGACTGGCTCTATAGGAACACATGTGGCTCCTGCCTCCCAGCTCAAGGTCACCTGCACTCATTTCCTTCCTGAGGAGGGCACAAGTCCCCCAGAAGCCACATAATTAGTGTAATTATTACACGACTGCCCTGTGGCCTCTGTGCCCTGCCATCACCTCTCCCACAGCAGTGGAGGGGTTTTTTTCCACTCTGCTTCCCTGCTGGAACCCTCTTGGGCTCCCACTGCCTGCAGGGCAAAGGTCCCCATCCTCAGCCTGCAGCTCGAGCCCCTTCTCAGTTGGCCTCTGTGACCCACCGGTCTGTTCACCTGCTCACATGCCAGGTGCTGATGTCAACCCCCTGCTGTTCCCCACAGCATCCATACAACCTCACAATGCTGGCTCTGGCCAGTGCTTTCCATCTGGAAAGTTCTTTCCTTCCTAATCCAGCTGGCAAACTCCTATTCAACCTTTGGAATCCAACTTAAGAACAGGAGTTGGTAAATGTTTTTTCCGGTAAAGGGCCAGGTAGAAAAATTTCAGGCTTTGGGGACCTGCCACCACTACTCAGCTCTGCCTTTGCAGAAAGCACTGACAGGTCAGTGAAGCACAGAGGCATGTCCCAATAGAGCTGGGGTGGCAAGACCAGCTGGCAGGTGGGCCAGTTTGCCCACTGCTGCTGGACTCATCTCATGCAGCCTCCGACTAAACAGAATTCAACAGGCCCTCTCAAAATGTCCCCTCCACCTCACATATTTTGTCATCACACACCCCAATTTTAATGACTCTACAGTTGTGACGATTAAATGACACAGTGGTCACGTCCTCACCTCTCACTTGGGTTTCTGCAGTAGTCTTCTCCTGGGTCTCCCAGTCTCTGCCCTACCCTGCCAGTCTATTTATACAGAACAGTCACAATCTGTTAAAATGTAAATCTGATTAGGTAAGTTTTCTGCTCAAAAACCTTCCATGGCTCCCTAATACCCTCAGAGAAAAAGACAGAGTCTTAAAATGGTCTCTACCATCTTACACGTCCAACTCCCCCATAGCATTTGGACCTCACTGCCTACCTCCCACCCGCTCGCTCACTCTACTCCAGTCACAACAGCCTCCTTGTTTTTCCTGAAAGCAGCCAGGGAGACTTCTGCCTCAGGGCCTTTGCCCTTCCCGCCATCTGGAACACTCTTTCCCAGGTTATTACATGGCTCCCTTCCTTACCTCCCTCCCCTCAGGTCTTTATTTCAATGTCTCCCTTCTCAGGGAGGCCTTCCCTGGCCACTCTGTTGAAACTGAAGCCCTCTCCTGTCTCTCCTCCATAGCATTTACCACCCTCTACCACACTATATCCACCCCCCTCAACTTTCAATTACTTTTAATTATTAAAGATCCTCAAACATAGTGAAATGGAAGCATCAGTGCAGTAGCATGCTCATACACCACCCCAGACTCAAGGCAGGAGGCACCCACGTCACTTAATGACGTGATACTTCAGCCAGAGACACTAGTGACATGCACACTGTGCTTGATTTCTCTGTCTTGTTCGTTGTCTTTCCCTCTTAGGCTGTGAGCCCCAGATCGCAAGCATTTGCGTCTGCTGTGGTTTCCTCACTGCCAAGAACGTCACCTGGCATCTAACAGCTACTCCGGTAGTTTAGCAGAGGAAACGACAGGTCCTGATTCTGGTTGTGCCTGTCATTGACATGTGACTCAGGAGCATTTCCTCTTGCAGAGCCGTGGTTTCTTTATCTGTAATGTGTGGTGAATACCGCAGTGCTACTTTTCAGCTGCGAGGATCAGACAAGGGAAGACTGTAAGACGGCACTGTTAGCAGACCAGTCAGTTACACTTCCATCTGACTCCTGAGGGAGCAGATTTGGTATAGACTGACCCTCTGGATTCTGGGCAAGTAGCAGAGAGGCCCCTTGCTTGTGGATGTTTGCAGCTGCAGGACCCAGTGTGCCTCCTCAAGAGCTCTTTGCTTGACACTATTCCAGTGCAAAGCCCTGCAGAAAGCCCACAGAGTGCATACTCTGGTACTGATGTGCCCCTTCTTTCTGTCACCTGAATGGCACCTAATAATCCCCTATACTTCATCTCTTGCTTTATCTACTCATTTAACAGTTTTTACTGGAATTACCTACAGGGAGGGTGCGCAGCTTCATCAGGTCATGAGATTTTATTTAATGAATTTCTTCCCTGGATCTTTGAGTATTTCCAATGATTGAGCCAGCCTCAACTTGGCCTTTTCTGCATTTCAAATGCAGTTGTGTGTCTGTGTTGCCAAACTTACAAACACACCCTGAATATACACCCTGAGTGTCAGTTGAGAAATGGGACTCATCCTGTTGAATCTCTGTCTTTTCTCCTGTCAGACTGCTCCGCAGTGAGTGGAATGCATGACCTTTTGCAAGCTTCCTGATAACCATGTCCTAACTTCCCTTGGTTGGGGTGTGGAGGGCAAGATATTTTCGTGGAGAATTCTCTCGATCCCTTTCTCTCAGTTCCACGCTGAAACTCTAGCAGGAAAATTTTAATCAGCAAAATTTATTACTTTAAGGGAACAGTTTACTCATTTATAAGATGCTGATGCGAATAACTACATAAGGAAAGTAAAAAGAAAAGAAAGAATAACTACAATCCCAAAATGATGGATTCGAAATTTCTTTGGAACTGGTAAAGCTCTTACAAATATGAGTTACTATGGTTAGCTTTAGTAACCTGTCTAGATTCTTCACTAGACCTTGCTCTTGTTGTGTGGGTGGCCCCTCGTCTGGACACTAAGATCCTAGAGACAGACTTGGAAGGGAACGCTTCTTTTCACAGGAATAACAACAGCAACTACATTTTTCACGTGTCCAGCAAAAGCAAGTTGCAGGATTCATCTAGACCTAGAGTTTGGGAACCATTATAACAAAAGTCCAAACAAGCCCCCCCCTATACCCCCATGAGCTGGAGAGGGCACAGGGTCTGCTTGGTCAGCAGCAGATCTGTGCCCACAAAACCGTCTCCTTGTTTCTTTCCAGAGTACCTCATTCTCAGCATCGATAACAATTGTCATTTATTGAAATCCCACTGCCATTTATGGGATGGGCACGGGGAGATATTTACTTCTAATCCTCTTAACAACCACGGGAGGTGAGTTGGGAGAGACCAAGTCATTTGCTCAAATTTCTACTAAAAGTGCTAAGATATCTCTAGAGATCAGCTCAGGTCTTCCAAATGACAAGGAATACTTCTTTCTAGCATAACTGTATTTAGTGGTTTTTTTTTTTTTAATTTAAACTGAAAAAGGATTGGTGGTTTAACTGAAATTGAAATTTAACTGCGTGTTCCTCAATTTTTTTTTTTTTCCTGATTCTGGCAATTCTAGGTTGGGAGTATCTGGCAAAATCAGAGCACGAACTTCCCTGCATGGCCCACGTCTTTGTTGTTTTTTGTTTTTATGAGCCGTCATTAACACCAGGTTCAGACCGGAGGTCTCCAACCGACCGTTTCAGGCGGGCGGAGGCGCCCCGGGGCGGGCTCTTGCCCCTCACCAACACGTCCGCCGAGGAGCAGTGTGCGGCCCTTCCGCCCCGCGCAGCGTGGCCCCGCCCCATCACCCGGGATTGGCTCCACCCCAAAGCCCAGCCTCTCTCCGCTACAGAAGCCATTCTTATTGGTCAGTTATAAAAGATGGCGGCGTCCGCTCCCGCCTCCCTCGCGCGCCACCAGGGCGGGGCGGGGGTGGAGCCTCAGCGGCTGCCGAGGGCCTGGGCCTCGCTGATTGGCGGGGAGCGGTGGTCGGGCTGTCACGTGGTCCGGGACGCGTTTGTTTGCGGAAGTGAAGGGAAGTAGAAGTGCTGACTCAGCCGAGGTGAGAGACGGCGACGGGGAGGCGGGGCCTGGGGGGCCCTCCCCAAACCTCGTCCACGACCCGCCCCAGACTCTGGTCTCCGCCGGGACCCTGCTTAGGACCTCCGTCGGGTTCCCCGATTTAGGCACGTCCTCCGTGACCCTTGCGTGACCCCCGAGTGCCTCAGCTGCCGCGCTCCCCACCCGTGACCACCCTGTCTCGCCTGAAACTTCTGTCCCCTGCCCCAGAGGGGTTTCGCCCCGGGGCCCCCTCCGCGCCCCGTCTTCCCCGTGGGGCGCTCCGGCCCCGCTTCCCGAGTCACTCTCTTCCCCCACCTCGGGGTCTCTCAGAGCCCCCGGCCGCGGTGACTGCGGGGGGCTGCGTGCCAGGTGCTCCCGGCTCTCCCCGGAGTCCCTCCCGGTCGCATCTTCACCTGTTCGCGTCCGCGTGCCTTCACCTGTGTCTCCTCCGTGAGGCTGTTTCCCATTTCTAACTCACGGCTTCTGTCTCATGGGCCTCCGCTTTTCATCGTGCCTGCGCCCTCCATGCTCCCACCTTCCCACCTTTCCCCCCTAAGACCCCATAATGTGGCCCCCTCCCATGTGTCCCCCTCCCTGCGCCCACATGACCGGGAGGCTGGTGACAGGAGTGTGACCGCGCGGCCATGTGACCGGGGTAGGCAGACCGTGGGTGTGGGACAGGGAGGGCACGGCGCTCAGGGATCTGTAACATTTTTGTAATGATCTACTCACATGACCCCAAACAAATACCTTCCCTCCCCCTGCGCTGCTTTCCTTCACCGGCCCTGTTACCAGCCCAGCAGGGTGTTAGGCAGGTTTGGCTTGGCAAGGCGGACACCCCACCCTTGCGCTGAACGCGTTGCTTTTGTTATTGTCTCTGCCTTAAAATGTTCCGGAGTTTGGAGGTTATTTTCTGTCCAAGTCTCAGTTTCCTTGTCTGTGACCGGGGGATTGTATTTTCTGCCCTCACAAGGCTGCTGTGACTCAGGGCTGCTTAGGGACCCCAGAGGTTCTTGACTTTGGTGCAGGAATTCCTGAGGAAGCCAGAGTAGGAGAGTTAGAAATGGAGCAGAAAATAGAGTGTGGGCAGATTCCAGAGTCACACTGTGGGTCTTAAGGCTGCGCTGTCATTTCTTCCTTTGAGGAGCAGGGCTCATAAATGAGATCCTGAACTTTTTTTTTTTTTTAAGATATATGTACTCAAGATCTGGGGTACAGGCCAGAGATGGTGGGGTGGTGAGAGGATTCACCAGAGACAGAGTGGGGAGCAGAACAGGTGAATCTACTGAAATACACTGCTGAGTGGGCCAGCGGGTGAGACAGGAGAGGTCTGCTGCGCCATGTGGGTAGCTCCCTGGCCCGGGATTGAACTTGTGCTGCCACTCATAGCTTCATAGTGCTGCGTCTTAACCCTTGTGCCACCAGGGAGACCCCTGAATGGGTTTTGACTAATTTTGTTTAACAAGACCCCTGGGCCCTAACATGCCGTTGGTGAAATAAGATAGAAGTTTTACAATCCATGGTGTCCATGGTGTCCAATGTGAGATAAAAGTTCTGAACTAGGAGGGCCTGGATCACCTTGCTCAGGAATGTGCTTGGAAAATTTTTTTCAGAGTTACTGGATGGGGCAGGGGTGGGGAGAGCCTGCAGCCTCTGTGTAAATTCCCATTCTCTTCCATCACCGGTGTGCTCCCGTATGAGTGCGGGGTTGTCTATTGTGTTAGAGGCAGGAAAGGGAAGGCGATAGAATGACAAACAAGAGGACAAGTGGAAGGTTTGTTGTCTTTGATTTATCGTTGGCAGTATTCACTGGTCACAGCCACGAGTCAGGCTCTCTCATGCTTTTCTGGCCTTCTTCATTGCTCAGTCCCTGAACGAGCGGCGGTGTACTCTCTGCTGTGTTCTAGGCCGCCCTTGAAGTCGCCAGTGTTATTCCTGTTTAACTCGGGGGAGAGAGGCGCTGTGGGTTGCCAGGTTCTGCAGCTTGCTGAGGCTCGGCCGCGATTCTGAATTCAGTCCTTATCACACTGCAGCCTGGTGCTCGTCCCCCTGGGAAAGATGCAGTCCTGTCAGTGCCCAGGGCACATGTTCGCCCTCCCCTGGGCTCCTTGCTGGTTGCATGACGGTACCCACAAAAGGAAATTTCCTCCTCACTCAGGAGAGTGACATCACCGAGAGAGAGACAGAGGAAGGAGGAACTTCAATGCTCTGTGTGTGAGAGTGACCATGAGCCTGCGCTGGGTGTGCGTGGGAGGGTGAGCGGCGGCCTGAAGGGGAGGCCTTGTATTAAGAGCTTCACTTTACGGAGGGTGGCTCCCTGGGAGAACACTTGCAGAGATCCATGCCTCTCCTTTTTTGCCCGTTCACATTTCATGGTGATCTCATCCATTCTCGTGGCTTTGCCATCTCCACTCTGATGATCCTCAGTTTATCTGTCCAGGCCAGTCCACACTCTCCCCTGGACAGCGGACTCGCCGATCTGGTGGTTCACAAATATCTTAAAGTATTTAGAGTGAAAGTCCTGATACCTGCCCCCTGCCTCCTCTCCCCCCACCGGAACCTGTCCCTTCCGCCCACTGCACGTCTTTAGAGAACGGTGGCCCCAGCAGCGACTCCGTGTCGCTGGAGGTGGAGAAGGCCGTGCCAGCTGTTTGTGTGATGACACTCGATGGCCTCACACAGGACAGAACTGCCTCCAGAGCCGTTCCTCAGAACGTGTCCCCGTCCTCAGTGGCACGGGACTCTGTTCTTTCAGTGGCTCAGGCCAGAGCTGTGAGGTGGGGCGTGGGGCTTGTCGCCACCTGCGAGGGAGTGAGAGGGGAGAGGGTGCCTCAGAGGCGTGGCCCCTGGGGGCTTCATTTGTTCTCACTCATTCCTTCACCACCCACTTAGGAAATAGCCACGTGAGTCAGGAATGGGGCTAGGTGCTTAGATAAACAAAGGCGGGGGTGGGGGAGGCACCCCAAAGAACAGTCACACCCTTGCCACACAGTTACCTGCCCCCGTGGGGTGTGTGCAAGGGCAGTGTGGGGCTCTGAGGAGCAGGGGCACCTGGGGGCTGCTGGGGGGTGGGGAACGGAGGGCACAGTTCTTAGAGGAGGTTGTGGCGGACTGAGTCGCCAAGACCAAGGCGGAGAGTGTTCCTTGTCTGCCGCTCCTTTCTGAGCGCACGCTCTGTGTGGGCTGGGAGCGGGAGGCGGCGTGGACGAGTGTGCACGCGGGCTTGCAGAGGTCGAAGCCCGAGTGTGGCCAGGCTGCAGTGGCTGAAGGGGCAGCCCTTGTATCCTGCCCTGGCCTTGGGCTGTCTCGGGAAGGTGACAGGGAGCCGGGGTGAGGGTGAGCGTAGCGGGGAGTGTGTGTTGCTCCTGCAGTTGGCCGCTGTGCTCCCCTCAGGCCCACGAGCATGGCTGGAGGGCGCACCCAGCGCTCCCTGCCTTCCGAAGGGCAGATGCGCGGAGACCCTGGCAGGAACAGGGGGGCTTCCAGGTAAGACAGGCCAGAGAGAGCGGAAGCCCTGCCCCTTCCTCTCTGGAAGAGCGGTTCCAAGTGTCACTGGCCAGAGTGGTAGGGAGGGGTCAGGGGACCAGAGTCTGGCAACTTCACCCTTCCTCTCTTGCCTGAGACCTGCCAGGGGCCTTCAGGGAATTCGTGAAGGAACCAGGTATCTGGGGATGGTCTGCAAACCTACCCACCTGCACCCCACCCTCTGTTGCCCTCAGTTTCTTTACCTCTCAAATGGAGATGTTCTCCCTCTTGCCTTCTGGCTCCACCAGGAGCGCCTCACCCCCAGCAGCCAGTCCTCCCTGAGGGAACCAAGCAGGCCGCTGGGCCTATAGCAGGGTGGGTGAGCAAAAATAAGGAGGTTGGGCCACAGAGACCCAGTCTCCCAGTGGGGAGACACACTTGGACCTGGAAATGGCTTGGAGCCGAAAGGCAGAATGTCACTGGCGCCACAAAGACTCTGGGGCTTGTGTTTTTCCTGCCAGTGGCATTAGAGAGTGCTTGAAGGGCCTCAGGCGCCCAGGAGCCATGGGTCCAGTCACCAGGCCTTGGCATCACCTACGCAGGGGCCACCGAGCCCGGAGCCTAGAGGACAGCTGTCAATCGGGGAAAGCAAATGCAGCTCCTAAGGGAGGTGACAGGGCAGGTGGCCCTTAGGAGCCAGAGAGTCAGGGAGGCTGGGGTGGGTGGGTGCTGCCAGGTTGGGATGGCAGCCCCTCCCCCGCCCAGCACCCTCCCCTGCCTGCGCTGGAAGATGCTGGGCTCTGCGGTCTGGGCAGGCGGGTGGGCGGAAGATGACAGACCCCAGGAGGAAGCCCTCGCGCTGGCCGCCTTCCTGGCCGTGATGGCTGCAGGATGTGACCTGGGGCGCGTTTCCTCCTTCCACCCCGTGATAACAATGGCCACTGTTTGCGCGCCCAGAGTTGGTCAGAGTCCCGGACACTCTCCCTGCATTGTGTCACTTCATCCTCACCCCGCCCTGCGAGGCCTGGAGCCCGGGTGTCCTTCCCTGGCCGGGCAGCTGTCATGGTGGGAGGTGCCCCAGCTGCCAGCCCCGGGGCCCTGAGGAGGGTGTCTGTCCGCTGGCATGGGGTGTCTGCCTTCCATCCCTCTGCACCCCACAGAGACTTGCCCCCTGTAAATCCAAGTGGGCTCCCAGGTGGTGGATACCCTGGCTCCCCCCACTTCCTGTGAGCGCTGGTCCTGTGCAGCCAGGCTCCCCCCACTTTTGGCTGTGGGCCCCAGGAGCTCAGCCTCCACTCCTACTTTATTTATTTATTTTTTTAATAATAAATTTTATTTTTATATTCCCCATACAATTGCAGCCCCCCCATTCTGACCCCAATCTCTCCCCTCCCACCCCCTCCCCCTTAAAAGTGTCTCTGGTTCGTAGTTTTTTGTTGATTTTGATTTTCACTTTCTTATAGTTATTCGTTTTCCTGGTCCCTTATTTAAGTTTTCTAGATTCCTGCTATGAGTGAGACCATCCGGTATTTTTCTTTTTCTTTCTGGCTTGTTTCGCTGAGCATGATCCCTTCCAGCGCCATCCATGTTGCTGCAAATTGCATGTGTTTATCTTTTTTGAATGCTGAGTAATATTCCATGGGATATATGTACCACATCTTCTTGATCCAGTCATCTACTTTTGGGCATTTGGGTTGTTTCCAAAGCTTAGCTATTGTAAACAGTGCTGCTGTAAACATAGGGGTGCAGGTGCTCTTTGGAATTGATGTTTCTGTGTCCTTTGGGTAAATACCTAGGTCCACTCCTACTTTAAAGAAATATGTAATCCTTCTGCGTACCTCTGAGAAAAGCGGGAAAAGAAGCCCCTGCCTATATACTCAGCACCTTCATCTGCCCTGCGTGCTCTGGAGTGTTTCTTTCAGTGTTTGCTGGTGTTTTTGTTTTTTTGCTTGCATGACTTGTCCTCAGTTCGGGGAGCTTCTCGGCTTTGTCCACCTGCCCTTCAGAAGCTCGCACTCTGGAGCCAGCCCATCTGGGCTCAGACCTTGCTCCTCCATCTCTTGCTGTGTGACCCTGGGTCCATTCCCTTCCCTCTCTGTTCCTTGATTCTGCTGTGTAGAATGAGGATAACTGTGGAGCAGTTCTGCGGGGTGCTGGTGGGGAGAAATGGCTCCTCTAAGTAAAGCTCTTGGAAAAGGATCAGAGCGCAGCACGTCTGAGCGCTTGGTGTGATTTGTGCTGGGACGTGACCCCTGGGGGGGGCAGTCGTGACACCTGCGTATGGTGATGAAAGTAGGGGCGGCCCAGAGCAGGGAGGGAGAGTGGGCAGCTGGGCCTGGCAGTGAGAACACCACAAGGAGGCTGTGGCAGCGGAGCTGGGATTTGAAGACCAGTCAGGGCTTTTCCAGATGGAAAGGGAGGGAAGGCCATTGCAGGGAGACACACGCCTGCGGACGGGCGAGGAGGCGCCTGACAGCGGGACGCGCGCGTGGTTTGGAGCGGACAGGTCAGGACTCACTGTCAAAGGCAAGAAGGCCGGTGATTAGTGAACAAGCACTGCCGCCCCTCCTGCTGCTCGGACTGTTCCGGTCCTTGTGTTACAGGCGAGGAAACTGACATTCATGACTCCAGGCCTGCTGCCTCTCAAGTGCTCAGAACATCTCCTGATGTCACAGTCATTAGCAACTAACCCTCCCTCCTTCCCTGGATGAGTCTCGGAGGCCCCTCATCCTCCCTGTTATCCCTTAGGCTGATCCTCTCAGCACGCGGCCAGCGTGTGACCGCACAGGCTTGCTCCCCAGGGCGCCTGCTCTCCTGCGCTCTGTCCTCAGCCCCCACCCCCTCTTTTGACGGGTGATGTCCTGGCACAGAGGGGCGTTCTGGCTTTGGTGCCCTGCCTGAGGAAGCCACTCTGCTTTCTGGGAACCTGGGACACAGTGAGACATCCAATTCTGTCCCCCAGACGGGGGACACTTTCCCCAGCAGACACTGAGACCCGTGGCTGTGACACGCGCACTTTCCACCCAGACACGCAGCTGCTGAGTCTTCATTCGTGTCCATTCCGAGGAGTGTGGTTTTGTCTCCTCCAGAGCTTGTTGGGGAGCCGGGGTAGCAGGTACCACGGTTTTCCGCAGACGCTCAGTCCCCGCCCTGGGGGAGTGTGCGCTGGTCCTGGTCCCCCCACCTTGTCCAGCCGAGGGCGGACACTGGTGTCGGTGGAATTGAAATGACCCGTCCAAGCACCTGCAGGACCAGAAAGCTGACTCTTACCCTCTGAGACCCTGCCTTGCACAGGCCCGGGCCCGGCACCCGTTCTCCCCCGCCCCGACTCCAGCCATCGGTGAGGAAGCTGCATCTCCGCTGGGAAACCGTCCTGGGCCCATGCCCTGCTGCGCACCCGAGCGCAGTGGCGGCCAGGGGGGACCTGCCAGGTGCCTGGCCGGGCCCGAGTCTTCTTCCCGTCAGGACTTCTTCCCATGCCCTCAGTGCTCTTTCTCTTTCTTTCCCCTCCTTTTCGGGGTCCTCTGGGTCCAGAGTTGGGGGGCGCGTCTGGGCACCCGTGCCGGAAACCACTGGCCCCGGGCGTGGGACCCTGAGCTCAGCTCACCAGAGACCCCTTTCCTTCCAGACCCAAGGGCACGGCGGTGGGGCCTCCCCGCCCGCCGCACGCAAGATGCAGTTCTTCGGTCGCCTGGTCAACACCCTCAGCACCGTGTCCAACCTGTTCTCTAGCCCATTCCGCGTGAAGGAGGTGTCCGTGGCCGAGTACCCTGTGGCCGGCCGGGTTCAGGAGGAGGGGCAGCTGCTTCTGTTCCGGAATGGGTCCAGTCGCACCTGGGACTGTGTCCTTGTCAACCCCAGGAACTCACAGAGTGGCTTCCGGTGAGTGACGACCACTAGTTCCTTATCACGGCAGGTGCTGCTCCGGGCCTGCGTGAGGCCTTGCCTGTCCCTCTGCGCTCAGCCGCGGCCACCTCGCGTTCCTGCCAGGCTTTCCCTGGTCCTCACCTTGACTGGAATGCTCTCCCCTGTGCCTGCCTCACTTCCACCTGCCCTTCCCTGCCTTCAGACTAGAGTAGCGACTTCTGCCGTGAGCCCAGTAGACACCTTCCTGGTAGCTCACACACCCCCAGGAGGGCCGTGATGGGTCTGTCTTGTCACCCCACTGTATATCCCCAGCACCCAGCATGGGGCCTGGCAGACTGGGTGTCAGGGCAGCAGAGGGAGCAAGCGGGAGGCATGAGAGTGGCAAGGCCCAGGCCTAGGGAGTGCTGGGAGTGAGGGCTGCATGGGGGGCAGGCCTGGGCCAGAACCCTGAGGTCCCACTTGTGAGTAGCCCAGCTGCCCAAGGACCCTGACCCTGCAGCTTATAGACAGAAGGCTTGGTATGCCAGGCTCCTATTCAGGGGCTGAGGGCCTGTCTTTTAAATGCCTCCTACGGGGCTCTCAACTGTCTCCACAGCGCCTGAGTATGTTAGGAGAGAGGCAGATGCTGGCCTCGCTCCTGGGAGGAGTTCCCGGGTCCCGTGACTGTGCAGCTTCAGAAGGGGGGCTGCAGTCAAGTCTTCTGAACCCTCAGCTTTTATTACCTAAGGCCCGTGAGTTGCCGCACCCCTGCGAGATGGACCGTGGGACCCTGGCAGGTCGGGGTGGTAAACAGCACCCACAACTGCAGCATCTGTAGTGTGCTCCGAGGGGCCATGTGGTCAGCTCTTGTCTCAAGCCTTAGCTCTCAACCCTAATCATAGTTCCAGAGGGCGGGGGTTATTGACCCCGCCTAACAGATGAGGAATCACAGCCCCGGTACTGAAGCACCCCCCCAGGTCACGCAGACTGGACTCAGACTCAGGCGTTCTGGCTCCGGGGCCCACCTCTTGCTGTTTTTCCAGGCGGGCCTGCTGTGCAGGGGGCAGGCAGGGCCCTGGCTCTGCCAGGGTCATGTGTGTCCACTCTGACAGCATCGCACTCAGTTCCTGGAGCAAAGGAATCGTTTGCTGCAGGTATTTACTACGACCGATGATAGTGGATGAAACCCGCCGCCCCTCAGGGATATCTCAGCAGAAGCTGGGCTGCGTTTCCCAGGAATCCCGGGAGGAAAGATCAAAGCATGTGTGACATGTTCTTGGCATCTCAAGAGGGGACTGATTTTTTGAGGCTCTCTGTAGCTTGTCAGGAAACCTCCTGGGAGCTGCGTGGCCTGTGGCCTGTCCACCTTCCCTGTGAGTTGCTCGTTCTCCAGCCCATGGCCCCACTTCACCCAGCAGAGCGGAATAAGGCAGGTCTCTGCCCCCGGGAGCTCAGGCAGTAGCCAGAAACAGGTTGATCTGACCTGGGCATCTGCCTGGGTAAATGCATTGGGCTCCTGTAAAAATGCCTCTTGTTTCCCGAACAGACCTCACTCCTTCCCACTTCTCTCTTTGCCCTTGCTTTACCCTCTGCTGAGAATGCTACTCCCACGCCGCCTCACGGCCCCCTGCTCCATGCGCCCATCCTCACCCGCTGAGTTCCCAGCACGTTCCCCGTTCTGATGGATTGCCACTTGTCTGTTTGCACATCTGTCTTCCTTGCTAGACTGCAGGGCTCCTGACGGCCAGACCTGGGTCTGAGTCATTTCTCCTCATGCCCAGTGTAGTGCCAGGCACTTGGTAGTGCCTGGTAAATATTTGTTGAATGGATGAGTAAATCCATGATCAGGGAAGGTCAAAGTGTGCTTGACAAAAGGGTTGGAAAAGGCCGAGCTTTTGCTGGCCAGAGATGGACCTTAAGGGGACTAGAAGATTTCACCAGGAGGTGTGTGAGAAAGTGTGCAACAGGGAGAGGGCACATCATGTGCAAAAGCACTGAGGCACCGAGGCATGGAGGAGTAGAAACACAGAGGAAAAGCCAGTGGGGAAACTTGTGCCTGGCTTTGAAACTGGAGAGTTAGAAACCCCTTGGTTTAATGGTTCTTGGCCATTTTTCGGTTGAGGAAAATCTTTCTCTTTAGAGTCCCAGGAAACCCTTTCACCCCCTGCCCACATCACATCCAGGTATCTAAAGGCAATTTCCCAAGGTCTGCTGATGCCCCCCTCCTACCCTGATCCTTAGCCATATGCTGCTTAGCCATGCTCCTCATGACTGAAGAGTCCCAGAGCTAATGCCAGGTGGCTTTGGTCTCTGGGCTCAGTTCTAGAAGAGAGAACCACAAATCCTCTAGATCCTTAACCTTTTTTTCTGAATCTTTCTTTCACCTCCGTGTTCTAGACCACGCCTGCCTCTCCTAAAGGCCTCTTGAGAATTTTCTCTCCCTCTTTCTCCCCTGGGGCTGAGACTTCCTCCAGGGTCCTCTCCATCCCTCAGCCATCATCCTCTGGACCACATCCCCCCTCCCCCCTCCGCGCTTCTTGCACCCTCACAAAGGTGAGTTCTTCCTCATCATTCCTGTCTCAACTCTTGGTGACCCTAGCATTCCCAGGGCGCTCCTCTGCAGGTCCAGGGCTGGGTACCTGCCCTCTCCAGGTCCCCACGGCCAGCCCTCCACCCCCACCCACATGCGTGGCTTCACTGTGCCAGAGGAGGCTCACCCCTCTGGGTCCCCAGCCCCCCTCATCTGCTGCCAGATTTCCTTTCAGCACTTCTGTCCACTCTTCCTACGGGGGGGGGGGGTTTCTCTTTATTTGCTATTTCCCACCACCCTACAAACGTGATGTTTTTACTTAGAAAGTAATCTTCTGTGATTCTGCATTCCCTTGGGGCCCTGCCTGCATTCACTCTTCTTTTATTGCTCCCCTGCCTCCCCCATTCTCTCTTCAAACTTTTTCAATAGTGAAATGGAACAGTATGGGCAGCCTCGTGATTTATAATCACACCCTTGTCAAGACAGAGAATGCCATAGCACCCTGGAAGCCCCCTCTCCTGCCCCTCACCCCAAGGAAGGGTAACCATTAACCTGACTCTCAGGGTAGCTGCTTTTGCGGCTGGCCCTGAGCTCAGCATTCTGCCAGGTGTGTGCGCTTCTGCGTGTGGCTGCCAGTCAGTCTGCGCTGCTGGTGCCCTGTGTGACTGCGATGGTTTCATTTCTTCATTGCAGTGCCCAGGGGAATCTGGGTGGTTTCTAGTCTTCTTGGTGCTTCTGTGCAAGGGTTTCTAGTAGGCCTGACCTGGGATGGGATTGCTGGGCCGACCCCAGCCATAGCCTCAGCCCCAGTGGAGAGATGCCCCTCAGTTCTCCTCCCAGCAGTGGACGATTTCTTGTCACCGCCCATCCTGAGACTTGGCATTGCCAGTTTTAAAAAAATTGTCATTCAGTGGGGCGTGGAGTAGTATGTGATTGTGGCTTTAATTTGCATTTGCCTGATGACCTGTGAAGTGGCGCACTTTTGATGAGTTAATGAAGCATTTGGCTGGCAAGTGTTCTCAGTGAATTACCAGCTCAATTCTTCTGACTTTAAAAATTAGTTCTGTCTCCTGTGGCGGTTTGGGTGGTTCCTTTGCGCCTCTGCATCCCAAATGCAGGCTCGTGTGGGCTCGTGTGCTGTGGTCCCCTACCCTGTGGTTTGTCTTTTTCCTGTTTTGATGGAATTCACTGATAAATAAGAGTTCTCAACCTTAATCCACGTGGAATTGATTTTCTTTTTCTTTTTTTTTTTTAAGATTTATTTTAGTTATTTATGCATACAAGAGCTGGGGCGTAGACCAGAGGTACAGGGGTGAGAGGATTCACCAGAGACAGAGTGGGAGTCGGAACAGGCAGATTGACTGAAATACACTGCTGAGGGGAGCAGTGGGGAGACAGAAGAGGCCTGCTGCTCTCTGTGGAACAGCTCTCTGGCAGGGGATCGAACTTATGCTGCGGTGGCTGCTGAGACTTAGGTCCTAGCACCACCAGGGAGGCCCTTGGTTTTCTTTTTTAATGGATAGTGTGAAATAGGGCTCAGGTTATCTTTCATTGGGAGACCTAGTTTCCCCAGGCCCTTTGATTGAAAACCAATCTTCTCCGCTGCTCTCAGATACCACCTTGGCTGTAGAAATCAGGTCTCCCTATGTGAATAGGTGTTTAGAGTCACTATTTTCTTTTCTTACACAAATACACTGCTGTCTTTTTGTTTTGTTTCGTTTTTGGTGTTGAATTAATTGGTGTAACTTTATAATAAACCTCGATACCTGGTGGAACACATTCACCAACTTGTTCTTCAAGATTGTGTTGGCTTTTCGTAGCTCTTAGCAGTTTTTAACTAGAAAAAAGTTACACACAAAAATAAACACATAACATCTTTAGGTTTTGAGATTCTGATTGGGGTTGCATCGATTCTGGTTGGTGAGAATTGACAACTATCTGGGAAAACCAGACAGCTACAAGCTACCATATTTTCTTTTATTCTTTTGTCAGTTTTAATATGTGTATTTTCAAAGAATTTGTCCACTTTATCTAAGTTATAAAATTTGTTAGTATAATGTTCCTAGTCTCCTATACTTGCTTTTTACTCTCTGAAGGATCTGAAGAGGTGGTACTTTGTGTTTTCTGATTCTTGTTCAGTTTTGTTAGTGGCTTGTTAATTTTCAAAGAACCAAGTTTTGGCTTTATTTTCTTTTTTTAAAGATTTATTTATTTATGTATACAAGATCTGGGGTGCAGGCCAGAGGTACAGGGGATGAGAGGATTCACCAGAGACAGAGTGGGGAAAGAACAGGCAGATCTACTCACATACACTGCTGAGGGGAGTAGTGGGGGAGACAGGAGAGGTCTGCTGCGCCATGTGGTAGTTCCCTGGCAGGGACTGAATTTGTGCTGCAGAGGCTGCGGAGAGCTTGCGCCACCAGGGAGACCCCCTTTGTCCATTTTCAAAATTAGGTTGTTTTGTATTGTTGATTTGTTTATGTATTTTGCATATTAATAACCCTTT